CATCTGTGATGTGAGAGACTGCCATCCACATAGTAATTTTTTTTTTTTTTTTTACAACAGGGCTTTAAGAAAGCCACACACAAAGACCTGAAAGATGCTTGAGATATATATATATATATAGATACATATATATGTATATATATAAAAAAAATACTCACTACCAAAGTTCTCATCAGTTTCATACTAAAGTATAAAAGTAAGGGTGAGGTCAGCCACAGTGCTAGGGGAAGTTTTATTTAGATACATTTATGTCCACATGAAAACGCTTAGACTTGCATCCTATTACATATGGAATTCTGAGTTTATAACACCATGAATGGCAGATTGGCTAGCCCACGCTACTCAAGAGCACACTCACAGACTCCACACAAGGTGGTACAGTTATGTACAGAATACAGCAGTAGAAGCCTTCCATGGAGGCTCTGGAACTGTCTCTCAGTCCCGCTCCCCTCCCCCCTCACGCCCTGCCTCCCAGAAATGAAATCCTATCTGAGACATATACCTTCTGTTAAGTAGCCACGTTTGAAATATGGTTGTTCCCCAAGAGGGGTGGGTTTCATTTAAACGGTTTTTGTTTGCTTGTTTGTTTTTGTATTATAGTTTATTTATTTATTTATTTTTGGTAAGAAAAAAGAAAGAAGAAAAGCAAATGTAAGCAGTGTTAAAGCATTGCTTCGCTTCCAGCCTGGCCTTGTGTAGTGTCTGTGCCCAGAGTTGAGCTGAGCTGAGCTGACGTCTGTGTTCTGCTCTAGCTGGGGTGGGAGAGCTTGCCAGTGTCTCTTGTTCAGTGTGCTTACCTGCAGCCTGCCCTCTTCACTACTCTCTCTCTGGCTGGCTGGCTTTTGCCTTCCTTGGAGGATCCAGTTAGTAAAGCACATTCAAGAAAAAAACAAAAACAAAACAACAACAACAAAAAAAACCCCACCAAAAAACAGAAACAAAACAAAATAAAAAAACCTCTCCCCTCCCTCACCTGTCCTCCAATTTCCCTCTGTCCCTGTGTGTCACTTTCAACTGATAAAGAGAAGTATGAGTTAGTGTTTCTTTTGTAAACAATTTCATATGCAATATAATACAGAAAGCATGGCTGACCTTCAATTAAAAAAAAGTAGTAAACTATATTGCTTTATTCTTGAAGATGACACTGCAGTGAGTGAATGGCAGAATGAGGCGGTGTGGTGGTGATGGTGGAGGCTAAGTCCCTAGCCCTCATTTGCACGAAAGATCAAAATAGCTTTTTGTTTTTCTATTTGGAACCCAAAGATATTTTCCCCCCAAAATCTCAAATGAAAAAAAGAAACAAAAGAAAAATAAACAAACCCCAAAAAGAAATTCCCCCCCCCCAAAAAAAAAACAAAACTGAACACCTTTCAGGTCAAAAGAACCAACAATTACCCAATGACTTTTTTTATACTAGTCTAGCAAGATGTGTGTAACATTCACTGGCCGTGAATTGCTGTGCAGCAAAACATTAAGTTGACAGCAATCGGAGCCATGCTACCTTAAAGCCCAAGCTACAAGTTCAAATTAAGAGAATGGTTATGAAGGATAAAAAAAAATAAAAAAAAATAAAAAATTAAAGGCCTGTTGGGGCTTCATTTGAATCAAGCCAATGAGCGATGGGGAAAGAGCATGAGGCTGTTTGGTTTTCCCAATGGGTGTGAAGAAGGCCACAAACCACACACGCAGAGGCTCCTGGGAGGAGACCCAGGCTTGGTCTCTCCACCAGCCCCACATCCAGGTTGAAGTAGGAAGGGGACGAGGAGTCAACTGCCACTCCGTCTCCCCTCTTGGGAGGAGAGGAGCTCAGGGTCTCAGGCAGATGGATCTAGAAGCCAGAGAGTCCTCTGGTGGTTATTAGATACTGATAGGGAAGAGCCATTAGCCAAGAGGGTTTCTCCCCCAGGGAAGGTGGGAGGAGGTTCCCACATTCACTATTGAGCTTAACTGAAACAAAGACAAGGGTGGACATCATTGCTAAAAGAATTTACAAAAATTGTTTAAAATGGACTTCTAGATGAGGGGGGTAACTAATGTGAACCTTAACCTAGGTAGCCACTTGAAAACATATCGGATGTTCACAAGATTTGTGCTATGGGCTACTGGGTCTCTTCAAAATGTCTATAAACATCTAAAACATATTCACACAGATTATCAATTTCTTCTGAGCATCCTTAAAAAAATATGTTTTTTCTCTTAGTAAAATCATTTTAATATACCACGCCTCCCTCTTTTAAAAAATAAATTAAAAAAATCCAGTTTTGCATATCTAGTGTTTGCATTTTAAGGTAGTATGGCACACCCCTTCACAGAGACGGGGGTGGGAACCTACAGAACGCCGGGAAGTTGGCCGGCATTTGAACATTGTGAGACCTTGGGTTAGTTGAAACCATATCAAATCAGCAAAATTAAAAGTTAAATTTGAACTCGGAAAAAAAAAAAAAAAAAAAAAAAGAAAGAAAGAAAGAAAAAAAACTGCCCCCAAATTATTAGCATTTTTTTTCTTTTCATAAATAAGAGAAAGTTCTATCCTTACTGGTCCTAAATCTGAGTAACTATGTCTATTTTTTTTAAAAAACCTTAATTACATTATACCTATCAATATGTACTAGAAGAAAGAGGAGAAAAAAAGTCACTACCCTAGTACCAAGACAGCACGCTTACAAGATAGCCATTTTATACATTATTAACAGACAATGATCAACAAAGAGTCCTCTACGAGGTGATGGGGATGTAGAGAAATGGATGGGGTTGGGGACAGGACGCCACAAACATAGACAAAAGAGTAAGTAATCCTCTAGCCAGACACTGAATTGCTGGGAATTTAGTGTCTCTCTCTTCCTCTTTGTTGTTGTTTTTTTAAAATAAATCTTCTATTTTGTTATCTTATGACTTGAACAAGCTTTGTATTTTAAAAGCATCCAGCATTTTACTTAGTTTGGTTGTTTGGAAACTTAAAAACAAAACAAAACAAAGAACAAAACAAAAATCATCCAAAACTTTACCAAACAACCCAGCATTTTATTTTAAAAACAAAGGACATGATTTTTTTTTTTCCTTTAAAAAAAAAAAAAAAAGTAACACTTATCTAGAATGGAAGCAGGCTTCTTCCCGTCCTTGCTCAATTAGCTTTTTGGAAACTTTTAGTTTGAAGATGCTTCTGCGCTATCATGTCTATGAATGTCTACATTAGTCTACTTGTTAGTAAAATTTATAAAAATAGGAGTGCAGCAGTTCATTATAATAAATGTCGCATTCAGTGTCTCATACTGGCTGTGCCTTAAGTACCAAATTTATAAACGTAACAATTTAAAAAATATTAATAAAATGTCAATATCACATTTTAAAAAAGAAAAAAATATACACTACAATATGCTTTAATGCCACCTATTGAGCTGTCCTTCCTATAGTTGCTGTTGCCGACCTATTACCAATATTTTTTCTTTTAAAAAAAGTTAAATTAAAAAAAAACATCCTTCATCCTATGTGTTTTTCCCCAGCTGAGGACCATATAGTATAACAGCCAAATGTCAAACATGTGCAAATAGGAAACTGTCAGTTTTTCCCACCAGTCACAGTGCAGTGATGTTTATACTTTTTATTTTTAAAATTCTGTTTACATCTACAATAAATTAAAAAAAAAAGAACTCTTCCATAGCCTCTCTGATGATACTTGCAGCACTGAGGTATCAAAAAGAAAATATATATATATGTATATATATATAAACTGAAAGGTTGCTTTCCTAATTTGTAAATAGAAAGTGAATGGGGGAAAGGGTGGATTCACGCAGGCTTATCTACTCCTGGCCCATGGGGACCCCCCCTCTGGGGGCAGGATGGGGGACAGAGTGAGGAGAGAGGCAGAGTATCCTGGGAAGCTTTGGAGGTGCTGAAATGATCGGACAATATAAAATGATCAGATATTTAAAAATTAAGACTGAAAAAGAATGTCCCCACCCTGCCCCTCCCCTAAGCCAAAACAGGTGTGCTTTGAAACTTTAAACATGTTAAATATTAAAATTGTAGCTTTTTTTTTTTCCTTTTAAAAAACACCTTGGGAAAAGCAGTTTTTCATATCTTAAATAAAAATCTAGCTCGACCATAACGTTTGAAGCTGTGCGCGGAGAGGCTGGTAGGCTGGCAGGGTGCTAATATGCAGTTCTTAGGTCTACCACACCAACAGCTACGGGTGGAGTCCCGGGTCGCCCCGGCAGCTGGGTGCTCCTGTAGTACCGTCTTTGTCAAGGTTCCCTCCCCTCCTTCCAGGGCACCTAACTGCCTGGGAGAAACTCCCTCACAAAAATATTTTTGATTCTCTCTTTCTTAATAGTTTCTATGTAGTTAATGGAAGTATATTTACAGCATTTCTTTTTTTTGTTTGTTTGTTTTGTTTTTTTGTTTTTTAGAAGTCACCATTTCAAAAAACCTTATAATATGACCTCTTTGAACAGAAAAAAGAAAAAGCACTCATAGAAAAGGAGGACCCTCAAAACATGGCCATCCTTACCTTATTGCCGAAAATAGATATACTTAGGTTAACAAAGAGACGTCACAAAAAGGAACTGCTAGAGTCTGATCAGCAGCCAACTGGATGTCACTTCTACAACACAAGAGAGAGTCTGTGCCCACCTCCCGCTCCACACGTCATAACTTCACTTCAGTGTGTGCTAAACTCCCAGATGAAGATTCTTACAGTCTCAGAATTGGTACCAAAAAATGGAGAGTAACATCACCATCTCAGCATCCTTTAAAAGCGAGAACAGAATCAAAACAAAACAAAACAAAACTTGTTCTTAAAGGAAAAGAAAAAAAAAAAAGACAGCTCCTTAATACGTAACGAGTATACTATGGTTAGCTTTGAACTAGGTATTAAGCTAGGTGACTACTGGACTAAGTCAAAAATCACTACCAAATGTGATCGAGGGAAGATTTCAAAGGCGAAGGGAGATGGGGAGGGAAAGGGAGACCACCAAGAGAAACAAACGGAACCAAACCAAAACTCATGGGTTATATACACGTTTAAAAGCTGTTGTCTTATATTACAGCAGATTGGTGAGATGAGATGTAGTCACCCTTCAATCCAAAGTGTGCCACCTCTGGTTGGGATGAGGAGGGAGGCTGGTGGGGGTCCACGTCTTAGGACATCACCTAAACAAAGGGCCACTCAGAAACTTCGCCCAGTCTTGCCTGGACATCCAGGTATGCTCTGTAGCGCAGGGAGGTCAGGCGTGTCCCGGAGAGCACATAGAGGTGGGGGGTGGGAGGAGAGAGAGAAATGTCAGGCACACATAGGGTTCACCCTGAGGTCTTAACTACAGCAGTCAAAGGACTAGGTTGTGTGTGACTGTGTGTGTGTGAGAGTGTGTGAAAATAGCTGGGCTGATGGCTCATTTCCCAGCTTGGGTAAACCAGTCTAAGCCACGACTGACAGGTAGATCTGTTACAGGGTTGGAGAGTTCTGGAGGTCATGGTGGGAGGTGCGGCCACTATGGCTTTTGGCTAGTCGGTCAAATCACACATTGATTAAAAAATCCCCTTTTTGATTACGTTTCATTTTCAAAGCCATGTTTAAGGAAAAAAAAAAACCCAAAAAAAAAAAAAAAAACACAAAACAACTGCCAACCAGATGGTGGCAGCATATGCCTTTAATCCTAGCACTTGGGAGGCAGAGGCAGGCAGATCTGAGTTCACTGTGAGATCTCTGTAGGCCAGCTTGTTCTACAGAGTGAGTTCTAGGACAGCCAGGGCTGCACAGGGAAGCCTTGTCTCAAAAAAAAAAAAAAAAAAAAAAACCAAAAAAAAAACAACAACAAAACAAAACAAAACAAACCCAGAGAGTGAGGCCTGCTAATGTTAAATGCTAGTAACTGAAAAAAAAAAAAAATGCAAATTTGTACTAAGAGACTACATCCTAACAGATCACTAGAACTACTTAAAAACTAAAAATAAAAACTTAAAAAACAAACGAACAAATAAACCCCCAAAAACAACCAGTTCTGATTCAAGAAAAACCAAAACAGGCCCAGGATCCAGGCTTGCTATCTGGGTTACCCTGGATTGCCTTTAGGCCTGGGCTCTTCTGTGGATGGTACTGAAGGTCAGAAGGTCACCTCTGCTGGGGGCAAAAGATCTGCCTGCCTAGCCTTGCACAGCTGCTGCGAGCTGACTGGAAGGGGTGGGACTCGAGCTGCTGTTCTCTTGGCTACTTTATCCTCGTGTAGAAACTGAGTCACAACAGAGATAGACTGGGGGCAGCCTCTAGCTTCCTTAGGGTAAGGTCATGGCGGCCTTGTGAAGAGAGGGTGCTGGGGGTGAGGAATGGACACTGGCAGCCCCAGTGGCTGGCCTCCCAAAGGCCTGCTGTATCTAGGCAGCCTTTGGGTCCCTCCTAATTTGACAGCTGAAGCCATCTGTAGCCCTCAGAGTTCTTGGCCATGTGAATCCTCCTCGCTTTCAGAGGAACCTTATTGTTCCCGAGCCCCCAAACCCAGCTAAGTTAGTAGCAAGTAGCTCTCTTTCAGACGGTTGGTTAGTGGCTTCTGGCTCTGGCCAGTGGTGGAGGGCGATGGAGGTAAGGGAATGGGAGAGTTCATACACAGGGTTTATTTTGGTTAAGAGAAGTAGTGGAGTTAGTGGAACAGCAACAAAGGAGGAGTCTAAAATATCTCTGGAGCTCAACTCAACAGGGTACCTCAAATGGTCCTGGTCTACTGAGTCATGGCTGCTTCAGGGCTAAAAGCAATTCCCCTTTACAACAGAGAGGACAAACCCAGAGCTGGCCTCTCCTCGCTCCAGCTCCAAGAATGAAAAGCTAATGGGATTTTCCAAGCAGGACCTATTCCGAGGCCTCAGCTGTCACCTTCCCCTAAAGAGACACATTACTGGCCTTCTCATCCTCCAAGTTATATGCCAGCCCAGTGCTTTCCAGAAGGCTGACAACCCTCTGCCTGGCACTCTTCCCAAGCGTGACAGATACTCCTTTTTGGAGGAGAATTCGGTAAGAGGCTCATTCCCTACCTGCCCAATCTCCCTCCCTTTGGTCCCACCACCTCTGTATTCCCATCAAAGTGATTTAAAAATGTTTAATTAACTTGAGCTCAGTTTAAAAGGTTAAGAAACTGGCAGGGATCCAGATTCACGTTAGGCAGGTGATGCTGTTAATTTAATTTGCTTTTCGTGTGGTAATCTTGATAATTACTCCATAGTTAACTGGCAAAAAAAAAAAAAAAAAAAAATGTTTTCTTTTTACTAAAAGATGGAGTCAGGCTGTTTGGCTGCACAACCCCCATTGGCTGAGCCCCAGCAACCCACAGGGTCAGTTCACAGGACTTTGGGGATGGCCTTGCTGAACATCCTGTGGCCCCAGGACTGGCAGAAATTTACCTGCCTCCATTCTCCATGGAATGGGCACAAAATAGAGATCACCTTCCAGTTTCCCACTCAAGGAAGAAAAGGATGAGGGCGGGGGAGGGGGAGGGGAAGATACAGAAATGGAGCCAAAAGAACCAAATCAAAATGAGCAAAATGAGAGAGAGGGGGGTGGGGGGGGAGGCAGGTGAGGATCATGATTTAAAGCTGGAGGAAGAAAGGAGAGAACAAAAGACATTGGATTCATTTTTGTCCCCACTTCCTTGGGAAGGGGTCCAGAGAGAGAAGAGAGAGATGTGATGTGGTGAGATATGGGGCATGTGTGTACACATATGAGCAGGGCACATATGTGTACGGACACGCGCAGGCAGGGCAGGCGGAGACGCATGGCAGAGATGGTAATACCTCAGAGAGAGATGGCAACGGAAGCACCTGCTCAGTGGTATCCATTTGTAAAGGCCGTTGCAATCAAAGGTCCCTAAAATTGCACAATTGTTAAGGTCATCAGTGCGCTATACATGGGAACAGACTGTCATACCCTGGGAAAGGAGATTACCTCTAGGACTAGAGTCGGTGGTTGCCAGCATGAATATGTAATTCTGAGACACCGTGCTATGGGGAGTCAGGGTGACGCCATCCCCAGCTCCCTCCTTTCTGCCCTGTGATTCCCCCCACCCAAGCTTATCTGCTTCCCAAGGGGAAACCAAGAGCCAGGCTCTGAGGGGTAAGAGGAGGGTAGGAGAGTGGGGCTTGAGGCCCAAACAATGACCACGGTGGCCAATGAGCCCCACAGGGTGAATACCAGGATCTCTGTCCTCGTCTCAACAGATTAATTTGGGGGAAGGGACATCAGTGCTGATCAATGGTGATGGCCTGTGATTATTTCAGAAATAACATCACAAGCATGAAGGTCCCAAGACCCAGGTTTTCAAGAACAAACAGGGTGTGTGTTCCCAGCTGCTGAAAATGGAAATGAGTCGTGTTCTGAGTTGCTGATTGACAGGCCCCCAAATTGATGCAGCTCTGGAATGAATAACAATGTTCTGGATTTGGTACTACAGTTGATCCGAGGGGATTAGAATCATCAGACTACTGATTCAAGTAATACTGGCTTTGGAGCAGAATTGAATGAGGACTCAGGAAGCACAGGCCTGGGTTGGCTGATGTGCACAAGTCTGGGTCTATGTGAGAATGTATAAGACAGCGTGTGTGGGTGTGTGTTGTGTGTGTGCGTGCCATGTTCCTCCAATGCCAGGAAGCATGAATGAATGAAGTTGCTCCCCCTCCCCCAGGCTCTTGCAATGGCTTTGGTCTCCCCAGCATGGTCCCCAAGACAAGGCTTGGCCTGCTTTCTCCCAGATATACAATCTGATGCAGGATGTGACCTGGGACAGCAGACACCCCTACCTCAACTCAAAACCAAGCTGCTTCCCAAAAGAATGAGGCTGGCTAGGGCAAGAGACTGGCCGAGTTTTCTATTTCCAAAAAATGGAGGGGGATGCCAGCGAGTGGGCTCAGGCACATTCATGCTCACACACCAGGAGGGAAAAGAACAATACAATCTGAAAACAGCATGCAAATCTCTTAAGCAAATTTCCATTGCCTGGATTAGTCAGATTATAGAACCACAGAGCACCACAGATATCAAATGCATCTGGCCTTTGGGGAGCTGCAGCTGAAGAACGGAAATGGGAACTTACTTGGGACCTGGAAGCTCTAAGAACCATCAGCAAAGGAAATGGCCTGGGAAGGAGCTTCCCCCTTCCCGCCTTCTAGGCACCATTGCCACCAGTGGACAGCAGACTGGGGACTCTGCCCACTGACGTGGGGGAATGGCATGAGGACTTACCACATGCCAGGACATGATTAGGCTACCCCTGCTCAGCGTCCGCGTCTTACTTTGTAGCCAGGGCCATGGGCTGTATGGCTGGTTCAAGTTGCAAAGACCAAAGGTGATGGGAGTGGTGAACACAGATGTCCTCACACCTTATACTACATGACTGGGCCAGCAGACAGAAGCTTTGGTCGGCCTGATGTCGGTGGGGGTTACCCTGTCTCTCCTCTGCCCTTAACTCTGGACTTTCCTCCCCATAGGCTGTGTGGAGTTGCTGAGGAAGGAGGAGGCAGGAGGGCAGCGAGGCAGGTACTTACAGCTATGCCGTGGCCGAAGCCTGAGCCCGGCTGTGGGCTGGCTGCGCTTATGTAATTCCCCACTCCGGAGTCCTGGCTGGCAGGGCCGTAGAGATCGGCGACAGGTCCTGGGCTGTTGGCCCCCGGGAAGCCTCCGGGCCGCGCCGGGTTGGAGCCTGCCGGGGAAGCGGGCGCGCCAAAATTCGGTTGAGCACTGTAGCTATTCAGGACTGGTGTGCAGAGAATAGAGCTGGGTATGAGGCCAGAAGCCAGGCATGCACCGATCATTACAAGCCAAACACTCGAGAAAAAAAAAAAACAGCTGAGGCCCAACTTCTAACACTCAACCAAGGCCATGCGGAAACATCAGCAGGGACTCAAGAATACTCAGCCCAGGCTACCACTAAGAAGCTTGGAGCTCCAGAAATAGATAGAAGGAAAAAAAAAAAAACAAACGATCATTCAACACAGTACGGCAACCAACCGAGGTGCTTCACTGCCCACCAAATTATCACAATAGAAATAGAGATATATATGGAGAGAGAGAGAGAGAGAGAGAAAGATTTTTTTTTTTTTTCACATCTGAATTGACGCTCATGCAGTCTTCTAGATTTGGGCACGTTGAGACAGCATTCACATCCCATGCAAACTACAAAGGAACTAGTTTTAGACTACACATTGTGTTAATATTGATATTAAAACATGACAGGAAACAAAAGCAATTTTGTGTCCTTGAAAAAAAAAATCTTTGGGAAAGGGATTTTGAACTCATTTTTTTTTTTTTTTTTGGTGTTTGTGTGTACGTATATTTCATTTAATTTCTCTTTGTTTTTGGATCCATTAAATGACGAATTTGTGTGTGTGTGTGTGTGTGTGTGTGTGTGTGTGTTTTAAAGTCAAATCAAGAAAATCTCCATTCTGTATCCCTCCTTCGTCCCCCCTCCACACTGGCTACTCCCTCCCTTCCCACCCCTTCCATTGAGACCCTGCATGAAAGTTGGCAATACTGAAGTGGTCAGAAGATGGGCTATGTCATGGAAAGTACGGGCATCTTAACATAATAGTAATGATGGCGGCAGAGTCCTCTTTTGGGGTGCAGAGCAGGGGATGGAGGGAGGGGATGGGGTGGGAATGGTGACCTGAAGGTTGGCTAAGGCTGGGGTGTTGCCAGTGGTCCTAACAGGATACCCACACACTCACCTCCTGCCGGAGAAGGAAAGGGGGGGATTTAAACTTTTTTCCTTTGGTTAAAAAAAAAAAAAAAAGATAAAGAAGTATGAATGCAGAGCACACTAACCGAACCAGCTAACAGCTAAAGCAATCTGACCGAAATGCATTTTGGTTATATTACTTTAGGAAGAAAATCCAGACTGGGAAAAAGAGAACTTAGAATGCAACTCAGTTACAGAGTCAGAGAGAGCGGGCTGTGTCTAGGTGAGGTGTGGCCAAAGGTGACATCACCTTAGGCTTCACCTTTGCCTGTTTCCAACCCCATCACACCTCCCTAGGGAGGCTCCAGCCTGTCAAACAGGGGAATTCTGCCTCAGCTTTACACTCTCTTAATACGTTAAACTTTATTTGCTGTTTTTTTAAAAAAAGTTCCATCATAGGCCTTAGATGATGGCACATGCCTTTAAGCGCAGCACTTGGGAGGCCTAGGCAGTTAGATCTTTATTAGTTCCAGGCTAGCCTGGTCTACATAGCAAGTTCCGGGCCAGCAACACTTTGAGATCCTGTCTTCAAAAACATCCACTCCCTCCTCCCCGGCAAAAAACAAACAATTTCCATCATAAAAGCAGGCTCTTACGAATTTTGGAAACCTCCAGGGAGTAGAGGCTATAGCTTCGGACCATAGCTAGCAAGTTTTGAAGACACCAAGTCTGAGTGATGGACACTCGCTTGTCTTTAGCCTTAGAAGGCTCACTTCCCCCTCCTTCCTGGCTCCTGTGGCATCACTCCTCTGCCCTGTACTAGCTGCCAAGAAGAACATCTGAAGTGAAGAGTGGAGTCCCTCTTGCCTGTGTACCTGTAGCTGGAGGCCCTCACTTCTCTTGCGGCTTTGAAGAACGTGTAAGTGGATTGATTTTTTTTTTTTCCTTCATGCACTTGTCATAGGAGTGAGAAGAGATCAATGGTGCTACACTGGAGAAGGAGACAGAAGATCCAAGGTGGACCAAACCAAGCTGGGCCTGGCTCCCACCTCGGTAGAGGAGAGAGATACTGTTGCCTCTCGATGCCCTTGGGCAGGATGAGCCCTTCTGAAGCACTGGCCAGAAATTAATAAACAAGACAATTGAGCGAGTGGGATAAGGAGGGGGGGAGGGAAAAAGGAGGGGGAAGCTTAAAGCTAGTGAATAGCTTATTTGGAAATGTACTGGCAGACAACCTGAACACCCGCAGAATTTTTTGAATCAACAAGATTAAGCTTGCAGATAACATTTGCCTTTGACCCTTCTTGCTCAAGGAGGCAAACATCCAGCCAAGATATCCAGAAGGCGGCACTATCTTGGTGGAACACACCTTTTTCTTCTAGGCTCAGGAAACACAAGGACAGGGGGCTCTTGATTTACCCAGGCACCCCCTCCCCCACAGAGGAAGGAACTAGCTTTGACTTAGGATAAAAGGGTAGGGTGAGATTGGGAAAGGGCAAAAGTGGAAGATGGAAAGAGACCCCCCCCCCCCCCCCCAAGCTTCTTTCTTTTCTGGTAAGACTGGGAAGATGCTAGATAGGGGATGGAGAGAAGACAGGAGAACTCCTGGAGACTAATATAACTATAGAAAGACAAGAGGCATCTTGCCCATGGAAGACTGCTGTGCAGAGAAACTTCTATGGAAGGCTTAGAAGACAGGAGGGCTGTTGGTATTCACCCTAACCCCTGATGACTTTCCTGGTTCTTTGTGTACCTGGAAGCCTGGTACCTGGGATGGAAGGAATTTCACAATGAGCTCCTCTTAGGCCTATAGCATCCCTCCCTGTTTTATCAAAGGGAACTCACATCAAGCCCTGTTGAGACAGTGGCACTGTGCTAGTTTAGCCCAGTTCCACTTGAGTATGACCTTGCTCATCCCAAGCCCATCCCACTTCAGCAAGTAACCCTCAGTGAAGGGTGGAAGACTTGGTTGCTGGGCCCTTGCCTGAGGGTACAGTGGGCAGGCAAGAAACACCTAGCTCATGTCCTTCTGGTTTGGCCATGGAGGACAGACAGAGCTCTTTAAGCTCCATAGTCAACACTTGTGTCTCCTGTGGCAGAAGAACCACACCCCAGATGGCATGATAAGGTCCCCCGGCAAGCGGACTACATGTATCTGGGGACACTGTTCAGTTAGGGATGGGAACAGACACTTGCCTGCTGATCGCAGGAAGGGAGCTGGGACAAAGGGATTTCCTCCTTTCTGGATATCGGCACAATTCCTCACACAGTGTACTGGCTGTCTGCTTGGTAACAGGGTCGTCTGAGGACCCTCTCTTCTCCTAAGCTGTGAGAGGCATGGAAGCAGGCAAAAAGCCAAGACCCTTTGAGAGTGCTGTCTGTGTACAGAGGGCTCCCTTCCCTGGGCACAAAACCCATTCGGGGGAGTCAGGTGTGGAGGCTGGCTGTGGTAAGCAGGCTCACCTCCCAATCAGCATCGTCCGCAGCCCTGGCTTAATTCTAAGCCCTGGTTCCTCCTTCTGCACCTGAACCCCAGCATCCTCTGGGCTTTCCCAGTCCAGGCAGTACCCTCAGGAGGCAGGTACCATGGATAGAGAGGAGACAGTGGACTTGGAGTCAGAAGACCCGAGTTTGACTCTGGCCCTACCCTGACACCCGTGTGCCCTGGTCCAGCCTGTGTCCTCATCCGTAGCACATGAGTAATGTGTCCCTTAGTCAATCTGAGTGACTAGACTGCTGTGAGAATGAAAAGGAGAAAACGCTCTGTGACTTATCAGGTATATGCAGAGCCCAGCAAACGTACCGTATGCACATTTAGCAAAACCCAATAGAGGAAAATGCAATCCACTTGCCATACAGACCTGGAGGTGATTTACAAAAGGGTCCAATCCATCTTTTTGCTGCATTTAATTACCCTGGACCCGAAGAAAGGACTCTTGGGGGAGGGGCAACATGAAAAGCTGGGACACTTGCTATACCTCAGGAGAATAGCAAAGTATTTGAATGAGAGTAGGAGGCACCTTACATTAAATGAAAAGCTTCCCAATGCTCAAGAAAACACCTGGATGGCCGACCCAATAAAGCCCTCCTATCTTATCTCAAAGGTGGGAGCGGAAATGGACCAGCAACCTGCACTGACAATATGGGCCCTGACTCAGGGATGCTGGGCCAGTCTTCCCGGCAGCTTTCTCCAAATGTCTAAAGTGAGCCAGGGGGCACTGGACTGTGCGTGGTTCTGCTTATCTGTGGTCAGAAAGGGCTGGGCCAAGAGTGGAATTAATCCCTGGGGGTAGGGAAGGGATGTGACTCACAAAAGCTTTACTCTAAGTCCAAGAAAAGACATGGAAGTCCAGGTGTTTTTATATTGTCTAACAGTGATCAGAATTTGAAAGCAGCAGCAGACAAGGAGACCCGCTTGTAGTACAGCACCCAGGAAAGGCTGCAGTAAGTTAGCCAACATCTCATCCAGTCCTCTAGAGTCTGAGACCAAAATTCAATAGGGAACCCAAAGGCTGGAAGCAGGTTCCTCATCTCTAACAGTCTGGTGAGTCCAGGGCAACTTCAGTTTGATATTAAGAAAGCCCCGTGGCCTGTTTTGATCTGAGATCCGCCCCCGTCCTTCACGAACATCACCTACCTAACTTAACCAAGGAAGAAACCAGCATGGTTTTCCCGTCTGTCTCCTCTTATTGCTGTGCTGCTCCAACGCTCACCCTGAAGATCTCATCCCTACCTGTCCCAGCTACAGGTCCTTTGAGTCTTATATGTTACTTCTTATGTGACCAATGTATGTTTTTCTGTACTACAGACATGCTGCAGTACTATGAAACCCAAGGCCAGGACTGTGCACTTAGAAGACGGTCCGGCATTGTATTCCAGCCATGGTGAAAGGCTACCTAAGAATTAGTGGTCAGCACATCCCTGTGAGGGATGGCAGGGTAGGAGATGTATTCCTGTGCACACAGCTGGGCCGAGATAGGGGAGAGCTAATGAGATAAGAGGGGGCCCGGCTGGGAAGGCCGCTC